CATGGTCTGTTACACAGTCAGCTCCTGGCCTTGTTTTGGCTGAAGATATTGAGCTTTTCCATTGTCTCTTTGCGCAGATGCAGTCGATGATTCCTGGGTATTCCATCTGGTGAAGTCCATGTGTATAGCTACCATTATATTGTTGAAAAATGCATTTGCAATGAATAATTTGTTCATCTTGCAAAATTCTATCATGTAATCTCTGGCGTCGTTTCTATCACCAAGACCATATTTCCCAACTACTGGGGATACCTCTTTGTTTTCAACTTTTGCATTCCAATCAGCAGTGAAAATCAATGTATCCTGATTGCATGTTTAGTCAATTTCAGACTGCAGAAGTTGTAAAAATCTCCAATTTCCTTGTCTTTGGCTTTGGTGGTTGATGCATAAATTTGAATAACAGTAGTATTAACTGGTCTTCATTATAGGCATATGGATATTATCCTATCACTGACAGGACTGTACTTCAAGATAGATCTTGAAACATTCTTTGTGACAATAAAAGGCACACCATTCCTTATCAATTTATCGTTCCTGGCATAATAGATCATATGATTGTCTGATTCAAAATGGCCAAAACCAGTCCATTTCAGCTCACTAATGCCTAGGATATTGATCTTTATGCGTTCCATTTCATTCTTGACAACTTCAAATTTCTTAGACTCACACTTCATACATTCCATGTCCTGATTATTAACCAGTATTTGCAGCTGTGCCATATCAGCAAATGGAGGTCCCAAAAGCTTTACTCCATCTACAACATTAAGGTAAACTCTACTTTGAAGAGGCAGCTCTTCTCCAGTTGTATTGTGAGTGCCATCTGACCTGAGGAATTCATCTTTCATCACTATATAGGACAAAGTTTCAGGGCTATTCATAAAGTTTTCTAGTAACATATTGACAATGCTTCACTGCTGTTCATAAGATTTTCACTGGCCAATTCTTTGAGTAGTGGATGGCCCCTTCCTTATTCTGAGTCTGTCTTAGTTTGGAAGCTCTGCTGAAACCTGTCCACCATGGGTGACCCTGCTGGTATTTGAAATACTGGTGGCATAGCATCCAGCCTCACAGCAACACACATGCATGCTGCCACAGTGTGACAAACTGACAGACAAGTTGTAATTCAACTGTGTGGATCATAACAAATTACGAATAACATTGAGAAGAATGGGAATTGCAGAACACTTGATTGTGCTCATGAGGAATCTGTACATAGAACAGGAGGCTGTCATTCTAACAGAACAAGGGGATTCTGCATGGTTTAAAATCAGGAAGGGAGTGTGTCAAGGTTGTATCCTTTCACTATACTTATTCAATCTGTATGCTGAGCAAATGATCCGAGAAGAGCATGGCATCAGGATTGGAGGAGGACTTATTAACACTCTGCCATATGCAGACGGCCCAAACTTGCTTGCTGAAAGTGAGAATGACTTGAAGCACTTACTGATGAAAATTAAAGACTATAGTCTGAAGTATGGATTACATCTCAACATAAAGAAAACAAAAATCCTCACAACTGGACCAAGAAGTAGCATCACAATAAATGGAGAAAAGATTGAAGTTGTCAAAGATTTTGTATTACTTAGTTCCACAATCAACACTCATGGAAGCAGCAGTCAAGAAATCAGACATATTGCACTGAGCAAGTCTGCTGCAAATGACCTCCTTAAAGTGCTAAAGAGCAAAGATGTCTCTTTGAAGACTTAAGTGTGCCTAACCTTGGCCATAGTGTTGTCAACCGCCTCTTATGCATGTGAGAGCTGGACAATGAATAAGGAAGACCAAAGAAGAGTTGATGCTTTTGATTTGTAGCGAAGAATACTGAAAGTACCATGGACTGCTAAAAGAACTAACAAATCTGTCCTGGAAAAAGTGCAGCTGGAATGCTCCTTGGAAGCAAGAATGGCCAGACTTGGTCTCACCTACTTTGGTCACGTTGTCAGAAAGGACCATTTGCTGGAGAAGGATATCATGCTTGGTAAGGTGGTGGGTCAACGAAAAAGAGGAAGGCCCTCAACAAGATGGATTGACAATGATGGGTTGAGGTACAGCCAGGATTGTGAGTCTGGCACAGGACCAAGAAGTGTTTTATTCTGTTGTACATAGGGTCGCTATGAGTCAGAGCCAACTCAACAGCACTTAACAACAACAACAACACCTCCCAGACTACACCCTGAGTGCTGCGAGGCTTGCAACAAATCTTCCCACTGAGGTCAGTGATCTACAGCCAGCCAGAGCTGTGGGTATGGCAGGATCCTGTTCCTCCCCAGGGAAATTTGGAGAGCAGAACGATGTACAGCGAAATCAATCACTTGTTTCCCTAAAGTACTGATGGTTTCTAAGTTCCAATGAGATGGCCAAATCAATCCATATATACATTAGGGAAATGTCAGCAAAAGACAAGCACTAAACTCTTGTCCCTGCCAATAGTCAGACTGCTGATGGTGAGCAAAATGGTTCATAATCAATGCCCTTAAAAACAGCCAGGATTTCAGGGCTGTGAATACCCCAGAAAAGCAGGCCTGGCCACTCAGACAATTTGCCAGCCTGCCTACTCTGCCTTTTCAGGACAGAGAACAGAGGGCAGGACCAAAAGGGGCAGGAGGGCTCAAAAGTCTAAATAAACAAAGCACAAGATAAACACCTCCTGACGCCAACCCAGGGAACTATTAAACAAAGGAAATGGGAAAACCCAACTGCCATGGTCATAAGAGTCACCCTGTACTGGGAGTGACATAACACAGACAGAGACAGCTGTTTCCTGGGCCTGCCTTGTATCTACTCTGCAACAGTGCCTGACTAGGGTACCTCCCACCCCAATCTCAGCTCATGAGAGGGTGACCCTGTCCATGCTGTAGAGCACTTCATGCCTCTGCCCAGCTTAGGGATGGACACACAACCCAATGGAGCCAGAGAGCTGGGCCCAGGAGTTTTGTGGGAACTGTTGGGAAAGAGGACCACTCCTTCCACTGGGGGAGTGAGGCTGAAAAGGGTGTAAACTTAAAGCCGCCAGAGGGCCAGGTTCCTGCCACGGGATGAAAAAAGCCAAGAAGAAAGAAACCAGAGATGGCAGGGACAGATGCCTCTTTGGACACCTGGAGCAACGGGCCTAAAACTAAGGATTTTTTCATTACATGAATAATAAGGCCCTTTTTGACTTGAGCCAGCCTGAGAAGGGCTTCTGTGACTTGCAACTGAAAAAAATTCTGATTAAAGCCTACCATCAACCACCAATAAAGCTTGATGGTTTATTAAGTCTCCCTTATTAGTAAAATTTAGATTATTTATACCAAATGTGTTTACATACCCCACCAATTTACTTTTGTGATTATTCAGACCATGGGAATTCCAGGGAGCAGACCAGAACCAGCCAGTGACTCCCTTCTCTCTCTGAGTCCTGACCACTAGTCCCCTGGCAGGACCTCACCACAGCATGGCTCTCAGAGGGGAGACCCAACAAGGGCTCACTGGCTTGGCCCCAAGACTACCCTTCAACTCAGTGGGGCCTTCTCCAGGGACTACTGTGCCCCTAACAGGCCTCAACAAGCAAAGTTCATTCACACAGATGATCAATTTAAACTGACAACAATCCTAGTTGCTTGCTCTCTTTACTGATGTTAATGAAGGCCCTGCTGAGAGCCTGGTGAAGCAGGTCTTCCAGACAGTAAAGGGCGGGGCTGGCCAAAGGCTACAATGTGGACCATGAGCATCCATTAGTCAGATACTGTGTCCTTTAATAGACATCAAACTAACCCAGGACATACTGTTCTTCTTAGTGCAAAACAGGGATCAGAAGATTCCAGAGGCAGCCTACAGAGAGTACTCAGATAGGCTAGGGGCTCTATCCTTGCTCTGTCCCTAACCAGGGTAGTAGACCCTGGCCCCTTCTGACCTTCTCTAGGTTTAACTCTCCCATCTGTTAATCATGGTGCTGTTGGAAGCAAAGCTCGTTCACACCCACTATCAATTTACACTCATAACAATCCTAGGAGAGAAGGTGCATCCATGTCTATCAGACATGGTTTGGCAGAGAAAGCACAGGTCTGGAGACACATATGTCTGCCTCTACCCCTCACTAGCTAGAAGCCCACCTCTAGGCCTCAACCTTCTTTCAGTAGAAACAGTGAGTAGCATCTGCTCCAGGTTACTGTGACCACTGATCAGCTGCAAAGAACTTAGTAGCTCTGAATCCAACAGACAGTCAGGCCTCAATAAATGTTGGCTATTGGCATCATTCTTGTAAGTGGGGAGCCTGGGGGTCCTTAAAATCCTTTCCTAGATCTGAGCCCTCAGCAGTCCTCCCAGAGCATGAAAACTGCCAGAAATAAGGAACCACCTCAACCAAAGACCACTTATAACACGCGAGGGGTATGGAAGGGGTCACAAGAAGAGTGAGTCTGCTCTGTGAAGGAATGGATTCTCTGCTCCGTCTAGCACCCAGCCCCTCTGAGAGCCTTGTGCCTTGTCATCTGGGATAGTTACCCTGAATTCAAATCAACAGCTTGAGAAACAGGATCAGCTCCCCTAAAGAATCATGCTAATCTTTTGGTAGCCTACTGCTGTTCTTCAAAGCCAAACCAGTGAGGGGTGCTGTACACTCAGAGCCCTGGGATGTGATCCAACAGTGTGAGAGGCAGATGGAGTCAGACTTCCCAGCTTCAAATCCCAACCCATCCATTTTCTAGCTCCATAATTTCTGAGTGAAGTCTGCTCCTCTGTAAACATAGTACCTAATTCCTAGCATTCAGCAAGTTGACATGTGTAAAGCTCTTATACGGTGCCCAGGACACACTAGCCAAGGGTATACTAAAGCTATTCCCATCACCTGGGGACACTGCCTGCTCAGTGATCTGAATGAGCCCCTGCCCCTCCCCCTCCTTCTGCCCTGGACCCCCTGCCAAGGATTGCTTTTCACTTGTCACAAAGCCACAAGGACTCCAGAGGCTGCAGTGATTCTGCACTGCTGACTCCATCAAGGAGGACTGGGCACAGATCCTTACCGGTAGGTGGCCACCTCCAGGCTGAGACCAGTCTTCACTTGCATGAGTTCCTGATAGTCTCGCAGCCGGTCAGTCATGGCCAAGGTGAGGGCTGCCTTCTCATCCTCCAGGCAGTCAATTACTCTCTAAAGAGAAAGGAGAAACATTAGACACAAGACAGGGACTTAAGATTCCAGAAGTGGAGTTTTCTGGGTCAAACTCAGAGTACCAATGATTAAGGATGTAAAAAGAGGTGAAAAACTTCTAGGCTAATTAATTAAAGACCGAACCATTTACAAGGATTTGTACCTCTTCCACATAGAGGTTTGTTTTATATTCCATATGGGAGATTTTGACAGGACACTGGTTCCTCTGTTCATACCAGCTAATAACAATGAATACTTAAAAGTTAATCAGAATTACCTCTGTGGTTTGGATAGCAGTCTGCTTAGAAAGGCCAATACACCAAACTGGTCAACTAAGATACTACTGTAAAGAATACTAGAGATTGGGGGCTTTACAATATTTAAAACAGAAATCACACATATTTGAAATAGAATTTCCCAAGCTCATGATTTCCAATAATAAGCATGGAAGCAGATAGAGTTCTTTGTTTCACCTTTTCTAAACTACAGTAAATAGACAGTAATATATTCTGTTTAGGTGGTTGTTCTGGTTACCTAGTATCGCTCTGACAAGAATACACCACAAATGGGATGGCTTTAACAAACAGGAGTTTATTCTTAAAATTTGGAGGCTTTAAGTCCAAGTTCAGAGTGCCAGGCTCTAGGAGCTGGGTGAAAGCCCCTCAGCCTTGGGCTCCAGCTCCCAGCCCACTGAAGCTAGAGGCATTTCTTTACTCAGACAGCTGCTGGCTGCTGAGGTTGAAAAGCCCAAGGTTGACAAATAAAATGGCACAGTCCCGGTGTTACCAAACCACACGGCAGGCCATTAATTTAAGTCCATTCTAAGTCCCTAAGTTGGCAGAGCATGGCAGGCTGCTGAACAACCACACAGCTACATGCAGGGTCCAAGCATGCCACAGGCTAAAGACCATTCCCAAAGCTGCTTCGTATATACGGGAAGCAGACCACATACCCAAAGCAGTTGTGGTAGATCCCACCATGGAGCTGACTGCCAGTCTCATCATGGGGAATAACTACCACCAGCTGCCCAGCCACTCAGCCAGGCCCAGCCAAGTTGACACAAAAACATAATCACCACAGTGGTGCAGTGGTTAAGTGCTTGGATGCTAACCAGAAGGTTGCAGGTTCAAATCCTCCAGCTGCTCTGCAGGAAAAGATGTGGCAGTCTGCTTCTGTAAAGATTAACCAAAACAAACCAAACTCACTGCCCTCGAGTCAGCCCTGACTCATAGTGACCCCTCCTTGGGTTTCTGAAGTGGTATCACTACGAAAGTAGATTGCCCAACCTTCCTTCCGAGGAGTAGCTGATGGGTTTGAACTGCCAGCCTTCTGGTTAGCAGTCAAATACCTTAGGCACTATGCCACCAAAGTTCCTTCTGTAAAGATTACCGCCTTGGAAAAACTATAAGGCGGCTCTACTATGAGTTGGAATTGACTCAAAGGCAATGGGCTTGGTTTTAATATATTCTGCTACTACCCATCTGTCAGTTTGTCATACTGTTGGCTTGTGTATTACTATGATGCTGGGAACTATGCCACAGGGTCATTCATGGTGGACAGATTTCAATGGAGCTTCCAGAATGAGACAGACTAGGTAGAAAGGCATGGTGATCTTCCAAAAGTTAGGCAATGAATTCCTCTGGATCACAACAGAATATTTTGTCTACTTTAGTGCTGGAAGATGAGCCCCCTGGGTTGGAAGGCACAAAAAATGGACCCACAACAATGGACCCAAATACCACTGATGGTGAGGATAGCTCAGGACTGGGCAAAGTTTCATTATTTGTCCATGGGGTCTCTAAGAGTTAAGAGACAAGTCAGTGGCAACTAACAGCAGCAATATATTCTGGGCATAAATGTCAAAATTCAGATTCAGAGATAAAGTTCCTTTAATAGTATACTTGCACACTGTGATGAGCCCTGGTGGCACAGTGGTTAAAGTGCTCAGCTGCTAACGGAAAGGTCCACTTGAACTCACCATCCGCTCCACAGAAGAAAGATGTGGCAGTCTGCTTCCATAATGATTACAGCCTTGGAAACTACTTAGCTTGGAAACCCTATGGGGCAGTTCTGCTCTGTCCTAAAGGATCACTATTGACTCAACAGCAATGGGCTGGGTTATTTTTTGGTCTGCGCACGGTCGTCAGTAAGTGTCCCTCAGAACTTGTTCAGACCACTATTACAGCCATTATCACCATGCCACTCAGGACACCTCGTCAACTACTTCTCCTTCTCTCTACCTGGTTGTTAGGATACTGGAGGGCAAGAGTCCTACTGTTTTGCATCCCTGCCTCTGGAACAACACCTTCCACACAGCAGTTATGCAACACATACTTGGCGAATTGAACTTATAACAAAATGATCAAGATAATATTACCCTCTGTGGAAGTTATCCACTTTAAATTGACCATATCGTTTAATTAATAAGCACAATCATGTCATTTGTAGAATTTTTGCATTTTCTTCCTGTGATCCAGTACTTCAAAGAATAATAAAGGGCAAATATTTAAACAATGAAGTAAGTCCACACACTTTAGCTTCTGATTGTTAATGGAAAATAGCATTATTTCTGAACACAATTAATACAAGATACGTTCTCGAACATTTATCTTTTTAAGAATTCAAAAATTGTAAAAGAATTGAAAGAGGGAATATCTTCATTCCTCCTCTGTAATTTCTCCATTAAAGGCGCCTGACAAGAAGCTGAAGTTCCATAATAAATACGTAATATTGTGAAGCCAAGGAATGTTAACTAAGATTTCAAAGTGTACCAAGCACTAGCTCTATCACTAAAATAATGATTTGTATGTAAATAGCTTTATTCACATAACAGTCTATTTCTGAGCTAATAATTGTTGCCAGGTTCTCTTTGTATAAAACTGTGCTAAACACACACACACACACACAACTACTTAGCTTTTAAAGCAAAGGAGCGAGTTTAAATGCCAGTAGCTAATGTCCCATGTATTAAGAGACTTCAACTCTGGCATTATCTGTAGATAAAGAGATCACTAAAGTGGACCACTTGTGGAGTCTTGATTTAAGTGACAGAGTTGCCAGAATTTAGTCTTGACATTCTCACAGTGTATAGTTAAGTCTCAGCCTAAATAACCTAAGGAGCTCTGGTAGCATAGTGCCTAAGGCACTTGACTGCTAACCAGAAGGCTGGCGGTTCAAACCCACCAGCCACTCCTTGGAAGGAA